CAGACAGACACACGGACACAGTGAATAGCTCTGTGTGCCACCACGTGTGACACATTTGTACACACACACCTGCACCAGGACATCGTGTGTGCAAACACACACACAGAGAACACACCTGTGTGCATACACACCTGCACCAGGACATCGTGTGTGCAAACACACACACACGTGCGCACTGAGACATGCACCGGCCCGCACAGGTGTGCACGCGCTGACACACCTGTGTGCACTGGCACATAAATGTGTACGCACACAAACAAACACACACACACGCACATAAACACACATTTACACAACCGGCCCCTCCCGGCCCAGCCCGCCCCAAACTCAGCTCAGCTCAGCTCAGCTCAGCTCAGCCGGGCCCCGAGGGCGGGGTCACAGAGGGGGCGTTGCTCGGGGGGGGAATCCGCGCTCACCCCGCCCTTCCCCGTGTCCCCCCGCCCCCCCCCCCCCCCCCCCCCCCCCCCCCCCCCCCCCCCCCCGCCCCCCCCCCCCCCGCTGCCTCCCCCGCGTCCCCCCGGTCACCGGTGCAGCAGAGCCGGGCGCTCAGGTACCGCCGCCGCTCGGGCCCGGAGCCGCCGCTCAGCCAGTCCCCACCGGCACCGGGAGCCGCCATGGCCGCGCCGCTCCGGCCGGGACCGCACGGGACCCAGCATGCACCGACCGACGGACGGAACCGACCAGCGGCACCGGGCGGACGGGACGGGACGGGACGGAGAAGGGGGGGGTGGAGGGGGGGAAACGGGCGGGACCCGCCCCGCTCCGCCCCGCCCTCCCCTCGGCGGCCCCGGCTGCGCCACCGCCCGCAGCACCCGGGGAAACCGGAGAGAACCGGAGAGGGGACGGGGACACCCCGGCCCTGCAACCCGGGGGTACCCGAGGGGAAACTCCATCCCACACCCCGGGGTGGGACAACCCCGTCCTGCAGTCGGGACCCCCGTGCGGGCACTGGGGCACCCCACACAGCCCCACCCGCACCCCTCTGCCAGGACCCCCCCAGGACCCCCCAGTACTGCAGACACCTCCGGCACCCGGGGGTGCGGGCAGTCCGTGCCCCCCCAGCACGAGCCAGCACCCATTCCTCCCGGAATTCCCCTCCCCACAGACCCCACAGGGTCCTCTGTGCCAAGGGGAGCCCTCAACGCGTCCCCACCGATCCCCCCCAAGCTGCCGAGACCCCCCGTGCCCATTACCCCCGCCCCGCGGTCGGACGAGCGCGCCCAGCACATCCTGTTTGTGCTGGGAAGGGGCGTGCGGCGAGAACGGGGGTCCCGGGGGGATTCCACAGCATCCCGATCCCCCCAACCCCCCCCTGGCCCGCAGGTCACCTTCTCCTGGCCCGCAGCAGCAGCAGCAGCAGAGCGAGAAGCCCATGGCGAGTCCCGCTAGCCCGGAGCCCCCCGCCCCTCTGCGCGTCTGGTGGGAGTGCAGCGGAATCCGCGGCCGGAGCGCGGCCAGAGCGCGGCCCGTGACTCACACAGCCCACGGCCCCCGCCAGCCCGGCTCCTCCTGCTGCTCCTGGGCACCAGAGAGCCCAACCCAACCCCGGCCGCTCTGCTGCGACCCCCCGGGCCCGCACGGCTGGGACAAAGCTGGAGGGGCTCGAACCGCAGGGCGTGGGCACGGCACAACACGGGCAT